CCCCCCCCCCCCCCCCCCCTAATCCCTTTAATCGAGGCTCAACTCCTTTTTCTTTTGGAGTCCTTTGTTCGACGTTTTACCAATCTACTGACACGACTAAGTTTAGAGCATAACTCTGATACTATGTTTGGAATCACAGCTCTCCACAATGATATGATATTGTCCACTTTAAGCATAAGCTCTCATAACTTTGTTTTGGGCTTCCCCAAACGGCTTCATGCAAATAGAGAGGTATTCCTTGATTATAAAGATCGTTCCCTAAATTAGCCGATGTGAGATTTTCACCGTCCAAAGTCATATGATATAATGATATAATTAATTCTTTCATTTTAATTATTTACTATTAAAAGTTTATATAAATTTATCAAATTATTTATTTGATTACTAAATAAATTCAAATGTAAGACATATTATTCAAATATAACAAATAATTTGATTTAATAAAACAAACCAACCACAATAAATTATTTCAAATTTAACTAATGTAATAAAATAATTATATATATATGAAAAGTATTTTTTAAACAACTAATTTGACCTATTTTGATTCCGTCCAAAGATCGGAGATTCCAAGAGAATATGGCCTTGTCATAATTTCACCAAATTCAAGAAAAATATCTTTTTTTGAAAGGCAGTGATATATTTGGAAGATATTTCGTAATTTATATTTATTAGATTATACAGTTTTAAATCTTTGGAAGTTGTACTCAATAAAATGTATCCGAGTTCTGCCAATGTATTTTCTCTCTCATGTTCTTTGTGTTATGAGTGTGCCGGGTTGATTGAGCCAATTTTCTCTGTGTATTTTCTCTCTCATGTTCTTTGAGTTCATTTGTGTTCACATTGAGTGTTGTTGAGCCATCAGCTATCTTAACATTCCTCTTTGTATTTTCTCTCGTGTTTTTTATGTTATTTTGATAGTATTGTTTATCTCCTGTTCTTTATGTTCATCTTGAGCGTGTGTGTGCGCGTTGTTGTTGAGCTATTCTAACATTCCTCCTTGTATTTTCTCTCTCCTGTTATTTGAACGTGTTTGTGCTTGTTGTTGAGTGATCCTAACATTCCTCGTTGTATTTTCTCTCTTGATCTTTAGGTTCATCTTGATGGAATATGTGCGTTGTTGAGTGATCCTAATAATTGATATCAGAGCTAACAGCAGGTATCGATCCTAAAAAAAAAAAAAAATCCATTACTCCCTCACCCAATCAGCTAAAGGGAATTCGGCTTCTTTTATTGTTGTTATTATTATTATTATTATTGTTTACGAGCAAGTAGAATGGCGGTCGGAAGGCAACCCAACGAGCTTCCTCAGGTTTTGGTTCTAAGTCCTCCCGCGATTTTCACATCTCTGGAATCCCAATTCTCAATCAGATTTCATATGCTAAAACCATGGGATTCCAAACTCCCATTACTCCAATTTCTCACCTCTTATGCCCAATCCGTCCCAGCCATGCTCGTTGTTCCAGGTGACCGTCTTCTAGTAAACTCCGCCATTCTCGACTGCCTCCCGTCGCTGAAACTCGTCGTCACTACCAGCGCCGGTGTCGATCACTTGGACGTCGCGGAGCTACGGCGGCGTGGGGTGGCCATTGCCTATGCAGGAAACTTGTTTTCTCAAGATGTCGCTGACATGGCGGTGGGATTACTAATCGACGTTCTGAGGAATGTGTCGGCAGGAGATCGGTTCGTGAGGCTAGGGCTTTGGCCTACGCAACGGGATTTCCCTCTCGCATTAAAGGTCCAATGGCTTTAATCTAATTGCTAATTCCTGTTTTTTGTTCTTCATTTCCAATCATCTTAGTAACAGATAGATTCAATGATGTGACTGATTTATGGAAGAGGTGTAGTTGAATTTGGATGTTCTAAAATTTTCACAGTTAAGCGGCAAGCAAATTGGGATAGTTGGATTGGGGAAAATAGGCACAGAAGTAGCCAAACGGCTGGAGGGTTTTGGGTGCAGAATCTCATACAACTCAAGAACCAAAAAGCCATTAGTATCATACTCCTACTATTCCAATGTACATGAACTTGCAGCCAACTGTGAGGCCCTGATCATTTGTTGTGGCTTAACGGCCGAAACCCGCCATATGATCGACAGGGAGGTGATGGTTGCGTTAGGCAAAGATGGAGTGATAATCAACGTCGGCCGAGGGGCGATCGTCGACGAGACGGAGCTGATTCGATGTTTGATTCAAGGGGAGATTAGGGGAGCTGGGCTGGATGTGTTTGAGAATGACCCTGAAATTCCTAAAGAGCTGTTTAATCTTGATAATGTAGTGTTGTCGCCACATGTTGCTGTGTTAACAACTGAATCTATGGTGGGATTGACTCAATTGGCGTTGGGGAACTTGGAGGCATTCTTCTCAAACAAACCTTTGGTGTCTCCGTATGTGGATTAGTTGAGGTGCAGCTAGCTGAGTTCAACAGGGAAACTACAAAACTTAATGACAGAGGTAACTTGCTGTGTATTGGTGAATTCTAACTTCACTAAACATCCTTGAAGTTTTATGTGTTTTCTCTCATGATTTATGATGAGATGTTTGTTTGGTAACCGTTCGAGCCCACCGTTAGAAGATATTGTTCTTTTTAGGCTTTCCCTCAAAGTTTTAAAACGCATCCACTAGGTAGAGGTTTCGACATTCTTATAAGGATGCTTCGTTCCCTTCTCCAACCAATGTAAGATCTCACAATCCACCCCCTTAGGGTCCTAGTATACTCGCTGGCACAACGCTCAATGTCAGGCTCTAATACTACTTGTAAGAGCCCAAGTTCACCGCTAGCAGATATTGTCATATTTAGACTTTTCCTTTCGAGTTTTCCTTCACGGTTTTAAAATGCGCTTACTGGGAACTGAGGAAGATTTTCACATCTTTATAAACTAAACTTATATGTAATATTATTAGGGAGTAGTCTTGTGATGTCCCACGTTGGTTGGAGAGGAGAACAAACCACCACTTATAAGGGTGTGGAAATCTTCCCCTAGCATACGCGTTTTAAAGCCTTGAGGGGAAGCCCGGAAGGAGAAGCCCGCTAGCGGTGACATTAAAATGGTGTCATGGATCAAATGATTGTAGAATAAGTTATCAATTCCATGGCGTGGAGCTATTTGATCCATCCATTATTGATAACGATGGTCCAACTTATAAATTAAATAAAAAATTCTTAGTTGATTGTGGTTTTAAATATTCTTACAGGCGGCCGGAGTGGGTGTGGATCTGGAATTGAAGAAGATTCTTCTTCCTGGACTAAATATGAGGCCTGCTCATATGTCTTATATGTCTGGTACTTGTTACAGTCTTTTGTTCTCTTTGTAATTATCTTATTGAGTATTGGCTTACTTTCAGCTGTTTAGTTGCCTCAGTGTTCTTTACTGAGAGCTTTCTGAAATATACTCTTTTTAAATGGCACACGAAGATGAACAGACCAATGAGCTTCCTCAAGTGTTAGTTCTAGAACCCCCCTCGGTATTCTCATGTCTGGAATCCCAATTCCCAAACAGATTTCATTTCCTCAAACCATGGCTTTCCAAACTCACCCTAACCCAATTCCTCACCTCCTATGCTCAATCCGTCCGAGCCTTGCTTTGCCGAGGTGGTGGTGTCAAACTCACCTCCCCCATTCTCGACTGCCTCCCCTCGCTCAAGCTCGTCGTCACTTCCAGCGTCGGGGTTGATCACTTGGACTTGCTGGAATTACGGCGGCGTGGGGTGGCCATTGCCTATGCAGGAAACTTGTTCTCTCAAGATGTCGCTGATATGGCGGTAGGATTTTCTGAAGATTTTCTGAATTAGTGAATTAGTTTGTGGGATATGTACTGTTAGTTTATTTAATCTTGTATTAACCGTAATTAATCTAATTTACTGTTTGTATTTCAATGTATGTCAGTTAAGGGTAGTTAGTAGCGGTTAAAGGTGGTTACTAGCGGTTAAGGGTGGTTACTAACGGTTAAGGTGGCTATTCTGTCTATATATGTATTCTGTAACTAGTTGAATAATAGGATGTTGGTTTATTGCCTCTCTTAGTTGTATGAGTGTTTTCTAACATGTACTCTGATGCTAGATCAGATATATTTAGAAGATATTCGGTAAATTAGTTTGTTGGGATATATTTGGTAGATTATATGTTTAAATCTTTGAAAGCTATATTTAGTAAATTGAAACCATATATATATATACCCATTAGGTAGTGCTCTCGAGCTCTCGAGGTACTTTCTCCCCTCTACCATACCTGAAGTCATCAATATAAAACCTTTGGCCAATATACCTGTTTGTATTTTCTCTCTCTTGTTCTTTGTGTTCATTTTGATGAGTGTGCGTTGTTGAGCGATCCTAACAATTGGTATAAGAGATAACAACTGGTATCGATCCTAACATAGTTGTTGTGCAGCCAAGTTTCTACTGAGGGAGGCTGGGTTGGTGAGAAAAGAGGGAAACTCCAAAAACTTGACGACAGAGCCAATGCATTAGTATTCTGTCTCTTTTTTCTATTGGGTTGATATTCAAAGCTCTAACTTTTCCCGAAGTTGTAATGTCTATAAATTAGTTGTTTGAGCTATATAAAGCCACTTGACCTGTCCCCATGCTTGAACTTACCTAGTTTTGTAGCTTTGATACCAAATAGTGTAGTGGACTTTCCTCAAGTATAATATTTGCTCATAAATCTCAACTAAACTGTTGACATGGGACTTAGCCTAATTGCTTGATCGCGAACACGATTATTGATTCCAACTCTATTAGTTGGCTTGACTCTGATACCAATTGTTGTAATCACACTCGATCCAAACTCACCCTTGAATAATTCACCAACTCAAATTTAGATAACTAATGACAAAGGATCTATTTCACAACATTCATCTCCGTTCTAGGAAAATGCTTACAAAACAGGGCTAAATCAAGTTTTTGAAAACACTTTGAAAAGCATTTTGAGAAATAAAATGTTATACGCTAGCAAGTCACAAAGGACGACAAGAACAACATAGATAATATATAATCCACGTAGACGTTATATCCCTAGCCCCATGTCATGCAGTAAACCCATTTTGAGCAATTTAAACGTGGAGAGGGAGACACAAACCTGAAAGCTGCAATTATATCCAATTATATCCAGGTCCTTTAATGAAGTTGCACGGGCGCAGATGAAGATGGTCGTAATCCAAATACTTTATCCTCTAGATTAAGATAATTCATAATTCATGTTATGAAGAATCCTGTTCATTCAGTGAAAAAAATATCATGATTAAAATACATCATCGCTACCGACAAATATTTGAGCACAATCTACCATGAATAACCATAAAAATAGTACAAAAGAACAGCCGCGGTATTGTGATAAACTGTTGACTAACAAAAAGTTGGAGTAATTTACTTATTTGGTTTCCTCAAGGAGAGGTAATGACTCTTTGATCATTCTATCTAGTTTGAAACCGAATGCACACAAGTAATTTGTCATAGAAACACGAAGATGAAGCAACAAATTGGATCCAAAGAAATAATAACATATTATCCAAATCTATTTTAACACTTTGGGAGCAACTTCTTGCAATGCAATGAAAATGCCAAATGCTCATAAAAATTCTACTGCAACTAAAATTTCTGTTTCGTAATCCCTTTGTTCATTTTCGGACAAGAGGTTTCCGAAGCAAACACTACACTACACTTATTTAATGCAAACAAAGAATTAATCACAACTAGAAGCTCGTCGTGAAATAGCCAGATCTCAACTCTCAATCTAAAGTATGAAAGAAAACTAACTAAGACGTTCCATCTATGCTTATGCTGATGAAATTAAAGAGAAAACTAACACAAAAGATTAAAAGTAGAAGAAATGAACCAGCAACGAGGAAGCCTCGGCCGACGACAAAAACAAAAAATAACCTCTATTCTTCGATATCGCCATAAGCCTATATAGTCCTCGTGCTAGGCCAAACCAGATGTCGATCCTTTCTTCAGCGCCATGATCGACGATCACGATAACGAGCATAATAAGAATGAAGAACGCAGAGACAAATTTTTCGCGCGGTCAGGCAAAAGAGAGCGCCAAGTTAGCAGAATAATGGTTCCTTTCAAAGGATGCACGACCAAAAAAAAAATATAAATATATTTTATTAGTGAAAGTGATACCATTTTTCTCAATAATTCACAATAATTTTATTTCTATTTTTTTAGACAACTAAAACTTTATAAATTTGCTTTTTTTTTTTCTTTTAAAAATTCTCAAATACTTCGAAAGTTTTTAAAAAATCATTAGACATTTTCTTCCTTAATAAAAAAAAAAAAAAAAATCTAAGTAAGAATTTGGACGAAATTTAATAGCATAAAAGATTTAGGGACCATTTCAAAATAATAGTTTTAATTTTTAAGAATAATAGTAACTTTTAAAATTCCAGTTGGGAATTTGAAAGATTAGTCCACTTTAAATATAAATCTTATATTGTCTATTTATTTAGTTTTGGCGTTAGGTAATAATCTCATTTCCTAAACCCTAAACTCCCACTACTCCCAATTCCTCTCTCGCATTAAAGGTGCAATTTCCTCTTTATTTTTCAATTCAACCTTTTTTTAGAGAGCTAATATTTACGGATTCTCCAGGTTCTTTCTGAAGCTCTGGTTACTGCCAGGAAGGAGTTTTGCTTTAAAGGCTATTTTTGTGGGTTGAGAGGGGATTAGTGCCCACATTCAATTCTTAGTTTCATTTTATGAAGTGGCAGTGGCTAAGATAAGGATGGTCGTAGTCAATGTACTTTGTCCAGTATGGGCGATACTTCGTAATGGCCATCTCCATCCATGGCTTCCTGTTGCCATTATAGTGAATAACAGCTGCATTTTCTATGTCCGATGGGTTGATATTTGGGTTGTAACCCAAACCAAGCACATGCCAATACTTCTCCAGGGAATATGTCAGCCCGTAAAATGTCATCAAACCTGGAGGTAATGTTCCCAGCTTCCAAAGCAGCCTTTCTTCATTCTGTAAACAAATTGCAAATAAAGAAATTTAAGCCAAATTAATAAAATTATCCCTTTTTCAATAAAAATAAAAAAAAATTAAAAATATCATCGATCTTTGAAAAATGTTTGAAAAACTCATTTCTCCACTTTAAAATGTTTCATTAGCTCCCTTTAAATTTTTTTTAAAAACTTCAAAAAAAAAAAATATATAATTATTGTTAGTTTATAGATAAACTATTAGTAACAAGTTTAAAAAATTACCTATAAATGTAACATTAATATCCTTAAATGTTTAGAAAAAAAAATAATAAATAAAAGATATGGGTGCAAGACTAACCAAGTTCTGCCAGATGTGATATAAGCCAGTGAGATCTTTCTTCTTCCACTCCTTGAGATCAAATATATTCATTCCATAAGCCCAACCGCACGCATTCGGATCGAATTCCCTAGCGATATGAGGGTTTGAGAAGTTAAGGTACTTGTCAAAACGATGGAAATTGTCAACACAGGTTTCCACGGCACCGTTGACTTTTGCCTCCAGGTCCACGAGCCACAACCCAGTCAAATCTTTCTGGACAACAATGTCATCGTCCAGAAATAAAATCTTATCCAACTTGGGATAAATTTGAGGTAGATAGAACCTTAGATGATTGAGCATTGAGAGATATTTTGGGTTCCTGTACTTCAAACTAGAAGCACTAGATGAACCAGTGGTTGAACGTCCTGCCTTGAAATAATATTCTCTCATTGCTGCAGATTTGAGCTGGCGGAGTACTGGGCAATAGGATGAGTTCAGCCACTTTAGTTCATCTAAATTTTCAACGTGGATCGTGGCTTCTTCTGGAGGATTTAAGAGAAACCACATTTTCATTGCTCCATAGTTGAGATCATCAGTAACTAGGTGGAATACATGTTTTGAGGAATCCTGTTTTGCAAACAAGGAAATATGCCTCCGTTAGAATACAATGTAAACACGGAAATAAAATTTAACCATAATCTTTCACGCATGTGATACATGTTAGGAACTACGAATCTTCACAATAGTATGATATTGTCCGCTATGAATATAAACTCTCATAGTTTTGTTTTTGGCTTCCCCAAAACGCTTCATACCAATGCCCCACGATCATCTTCTTAATTAGTCAATTTGGGACGCACCCAACAATCCTCCCCTCAAACAAAGTACACTATAGAGCCTCTCCTGAGGCTTATAGAGCCATTGAACAATCTCCTTTAATCGAGGCTCGACTCCTTCTTTGGAGCCCTCGAACAAATTACACTATTTGTTTGACACTTCAGTCACTTTTGACTACACTTTCGAGGCTCACAATTTTTTTGTTCGAAAATTGAGGATTCTATTGATATGATTAAGTTAAGGGCATGACTTTAATACCATGTTAGGAACTACAAATCTCCACAATGGTATGATATTGTCCAATTTGAGAATAAACTCTCATGGTTTTGCTTTTGATTTTTCAAGACTTCGTATCAATGAAGATGTATTCCTTACTTGTGAGATTCCCTCTTAATTAGGCAACGTGAGACTCCCACTTTGAACATAAGCTCTCATGATTATGATCGTCCACTTAATTAGCCAACGTGGGACCCCTCTCAACCATTCTCAACTATATGTATTAAAAAAATTCAATTTTCATGAATAAAGCGCTAAATTAATGAGTTGAATTCACCTTAGCATTCATTACGGTTGAGTTCACAACGACTGCTGCAGCCAACACGTTGTCTGTAAAGAGCGCATAATGGTGAAGTTTTGGATTTTCCAAGTTTTCACTTTTAGGGAGCTCTCTCTTCTCCGGAGGCAGAAGGTAGTAATCAACGGTAAGGCGCAAGGACAGGCAGCGAATACCACCTGGAATACCCTTAACTCCCAATTGAGTGAGAAATGTATTTTGCCTTTTCAACCTTCTAATCTTTTCCTCTTCAGTTAGAAGCATTGCTCTCAATTTCCTGGTCACGAACTCGCAATCAAACAGTTCATCTCTCGCCTTGGAAAGAACAGCAGCCATTTCTTTTATTCTCTTGCGCGCACTACAAAACAATGTAAGGTTTAACATGAGAAGAATCCTTATGATCATCATGGAAAAGAAATGACAAGCATGGAATTTGTACATTTTATCACGATGTGTACTCGGTTAGGAATCACGGATCTCCACAATGGTATGATATGGTCCATTTTGAGCATAAGCTCTCGTGGCTTTATTTTGGACTTTTCCAAAATGTCTCATACCAATAGAGATAGTATTCTTCATTTATAGACCCATGATCTTCTACTAAATTAACCGGGACGCACTCCCAATAATTCTCAACAGACTCTACGACCAAGTTCTATTACCTGGAATGCAACTCAGCATCAACATTTGCCTCTCCTAGGGCACGACGACTCCTTTTGAGACAAACTAAGAGCTGTTGACGCAACCCCTGTTTCATTTTCTTTTTCGATACACTCAAATATATTCTTGCCATAATAATCTGGTCTCGCATTAGACGTATGGTTGAAACTCGGTTCTTGTTTCCATTTTCCTTCTTCCATGTACTGTATTTTTCAAGAATCGAGGAGTTAACTAATTCAGAGGCTTGCATATTAGCATTCTCAAGTTTTACAATGGTATCATCATCCTGCTGAACCATTTCCATCTCCACCAATTGATTTTCGTATCGCTCTTCTCTTACTATCTACAAAATAGGAATCACGGGGGCGGAGGGTCAATAAGGTCGAGAATGTGCAAAGCCAAATATCCATGTCCTCCATCTCAATCCAAACAAGGGACCTATTGGACCAATTTTTTTTTTTTTCAACATAGAAATTATGTATTGAAACATATAGTCAGTAATTATTACCCTTCTGGCTGCTTTAGGGAGCGCGAGCAAATTGATAAATTGCATATGAGAACATGTAAAAGACAACTGCGTCAATAAAAGAAAAGGAAAAACAAAAGCAAGCAATCCATCATAAACATTAGATGTTCTAGGATTACCACCCAGAGAGTAGTTGCCTTCCATCTGGTGGGTTCCACTTCTCGGAGCTACAGCCGTTTGGCTTGGCTACAAGCAGAATCAGTAAATCACGACTCAATAAGAGCAAAGTCGATTGTACCAGAAAAAGAGTGAAGTTGTCGACTTACTAAGGAAATCGCAACAACTGCGGCGTCCACCCCAACCAATTTCCATGTTAGGATCAAATTATTTTTCTCTTTGGACTTGATATTAATAGTTCCTGTGTTGTTTGTGCGGGCTGCAATATCATCAAGAACCTGCAGAAGTATTGTAATTAACTATTTCACACAGAAAACAGTTGCTAAATTTTAAAGTTCTCATGGCTTAGGGATTAAAAGTAGCGGATGTGAAGAAATCGAGCAGGGTAACTGACATACAATTGCACGTTACCAGAAAGAGTCGAAACAAGTTTTTGGCAATTTTTCTTTTCCAATCCACAATATACAATAACCAGTTCAGAATCGAGAACGTTTTAATAACCTACCCCTTTGCTTGGACTATTTGAAGCAACCCCTTCACCTGCAGAAATTGTAATGACAAATTAAGCAAAAAAATAAATGAACAAATGAAAATCACCTCATCACAAGGATAGAACACGTTGGTATACCATACAATTTATAAATAGGCTATGATATTGTTCAAGAATAAAGCAAGAACAGAGGAAACACACGAGAACATATTAAATAAACATGTCTCTCAAACCACACGAGAACACACATAATGTTCGTACGTTGTGATAAAAGGGGGACTAAGCTCCTCGTTTGTGATTCGTTTCAAGAATCAAGACCCATATATCAAGGAAAACGCCAGACTAGATGTGCTTACTTTTTCTTCCTATCAAGTAAACGCCAGACTAGATCTCTCCCTGCTTCGACTTGAAGCACAGGCTGGATCACATATTTAGTGCGAGTTACTGCTGTAGTTGATTATTCTAGTTTGACACTAATTCATTTACAAGAAGTGAGGTAAGTATTTCCATGATGCTCTTCTCTTATTCATTATCTCCAACTAAACTAAATCACATTTGGTCATATCCATGAGAGTCAATCTTGCAGTTCTACAGACTTAGGCGGGCAAGCTTATGACCTTCCTGCTGATTTCTGAAGTGTTGGCTCAGCCAACCTTTACACGAAAAACTTTAAGGAAACATGTCCGGAGTCCATAATATTGTAGTCGATGCTACAGGAAAAAACCGGAAGATCAGAGTCATGGTGTGTTGTTATTGGAAATTCCTTACACAAAGAAGTTCAGAGGCTACAATTATATCGTTCTAACAAATTCATTTATTTGTTCTTTAATTCTTTATTCTTTGCTCTTCGTACTTCTTTTTCCTCTCTCTCATATACCGGAGCCACTCTATTTGCCGCGGAGACAATGTAAGTAAGAAACACAATCCAAAAAAATGACGCCAAATACATCTTTGTGCCACAAAGACACGTCCGTAACATGAGTGCTATACATTGTCAATTTTATCGGAGTCTGAGCGAACTTCCTGCAATGCGATTATCATTTCCGACGCATGATGCGGTGTTAAGCTTAAAATAAGGAATTCTAGTTCAACTACAATTTGATCTGTTTCGTAATCCCTTCAAATTCAGACAATAATTCAAATTCTAGAAGCGAACACCATACATAGTTTGCTCTCAAATAAATAAATAAAAATAACAATCTCTCGTGAAAGAGCCAGTTCTAAACTCCAACTCTGAAGTGGCCGTAGCTTTTCCGGTTCCGTCGAGAAAACATTATATAACAGAGTACATTAACTAAAGCTTTCAACTAATACTGAGAAAAACAAAAAGGAAATGACTACAGATCTAACAAATAAAGATCCAGAGTAAAAACCACACAGCATTCATTCTCCAAAACCACACGGAGAGATCAAAGTAGGTGAAGAAACGCACCAGTAGTACAGAAGCCGCTGACGACTACAAAAAGCAAGGGCGCAAGAGCGGAGAGGAGGACGAGAAGAGCCAAAAAGAACCTATATCTTCCAGCACCGCCATTAACTCCTTCATCCTCGTGCTTAGCCAAATCAGAAACCGATCCTTTATTCAGCGCCATTGACGATGAGCAAAAAAACGGAGAGAATTAACGCCAAGAATCAAAAATCCAAGAGCATTGCAGTTGAATGGTAGGAGAATTTCGTCGCGCAAACAGGTTAAAGAGAGAGCGAACGTAACAGAAGAAGGGAATCTTTCAGTTAAGTTTCGTCGCTATCGAATAACATCTCTGTGAAGTGCGACCAGAAACTGAACGCCGGTGCTTTTTATACTCCCGTTTTTTCTTTGCTCTCTCTCTTTCTCTCTCTTAGAAATCTCCCGCTCTTTCCCGGTTCAATAAAAAGCTAAAATAATTATTTTGTGGTTAAATTGTAAAGTTTAATTATATTTTCTAGGCTAATTAAATAAAAATACTTCCAAAACAAATTCAATAACTTTAAATATTAAAAAAAAATTGAAAAATAGTGCTGGACTTAGTTTTAGATTGAAATTAAAATATTATTCCACTTTAAAAAAATATCATTCAATTTTAATAAATTTTATTAATACTAACATTTAAAAAATTAAAATATACATAGTTAATACTAGGTTTAAAAAATACACATTAATTTATAATTATAAAAAAAAATTCTTACCGACAATATATGAATAGATATCACCTATAGATATAAGATTATTTCTCATCATTTTTTCTTTTAATTTTAAAAGTATTTTTCTTTCAAAATTAATAAATATTTTTAAAATATAATACTAATGAATTCGTTTCTAGGCTAATAATTAAAATATTTTTGAAATTATTTAAAAGTTTCATGGATATTAATAAATAAAAAAAACAATTTAAGTTCAAAAACACTATTTTAACAAAATATTAATAAATTCCCATTTAAAATGAATAATTTAAGTTTTTTTTTTTCCTTTTTTTTTTAGTTTAAATGTTTTGAAGAACACTTTTATTAATTATACATGTTTTATACACAAGTAGTAAACAATATTTTTTTTAATTGATCTCAAAATGATTATTGAATATATATTAACTAATTTTGAGAAATGCAGGAAATTGAATTAGCAAGTTAGGTGAAAAATTCAAATATTTGACTTGGAATAATGTTGTGATTGGGTTATTTAAAATATATTAACCCAAAAAAGATGTATGATTTAAAATTTTGAATTGAGTTATTTTTATTGAATTCGAATATCGGGCGAAATTAAACTAAAAGAAACCCTTTGTTCTAAAATAAAATACAACTCTTAACAATCTAAATAAGACTAAACTAGCAAGCAAGAGACTAATTTCCTAGTGTTATCAAATGGGCTTCTTGTACCCAAAATGGCAAATTGATGTCACATTCATGACGAGGTGTTTAATCTGAAGAAATGTAAAACAGAATAACATACTCCTCAATTGATTTCATATTCAAGACAGATGACTATCATGATTCCACCTGAAAGACCAAGGGAACAACACAACACAACACAAACATGTAAACAATTTCCAAACACATTATGGAATTATACATTACGACATTGAAGCTTGGTTCTTTACTAGGAAAAAGGATCACGAGACCTTTTCGGGTCGACAAAATTCCCTATATAATTGCCACGTCCAAGTAATCTCCGATCTGCAGGGAAAAAGTGTCGTAAGTACGCGACAAAATACAGGAGGGGAATGAGATGGCAAAAAACAAAACCCATGTTTGTTTTACCTGAAAACCAAGTTCTGCCAAAGCTAAGTTATCATCTGATCGTCCATTTCCGAACGAGAATGTCTTCCCAACCTTCACGTAAAGAAACAGAATCTGTATTACTCGGAGGCTCGTATAATAGTTCACTTTCTTCATACCTTTGTTTATAATCGTACTTTATGTTCTTTTAAGAAATAGGTCAATCTAATTCGATTCACCTAGCAGATATACAGAGGTATTTGCAGTGAAGGAAAATGCAAACTGGCAGGGCATGAAGAAAGGGTGTTTAGTACAGAAGATTTTGTGTCATTTCATTCAACAACCATGTAATTAGCAAGTGATCCTTTAAAAGCACTAAATGAAATTAAATGGGCAGCTTATCCATCACAGCCGTGCAAGAATATGCAACGTAGGCACTAGTTAAGCCCGTTCGATGTGTTCATACATGTCCTAGAATCAGAACTACCCACCTTTTCACAAAACTGAGCGCTACAAACTTCTTAAGACTATGGGAAAACTCCAGTTTGAAAGTATTGTCACGATCAAACAAGTCGTAGACATAACATCTGTCAACATAATACTCAATAGGGAAATATTTATTTTGTATTTCCAGATTTAGTTTAGTCAAATTCAACACTAGAATAAATAACTTCAATCTCCTCCCTTAGTTCAGTTGTCTTTTTTTCTTTGACATTTATGGCATTCTTGTAGTTCAACACATTACTGATTTTGTAGATAAGCATTTCTCTAGGCTAGGTTTGTTTGCTGTTTGGTCCTTGATGCTTGAACATGTTAAAAGTATTCAAGTTTTTTTCTGGTCAAATTCCAGTAATGTTAAGACTAGATTTTGAGTACCAAGTGGGACGAATTCTAGGACAATTAATGGGTTTTGGGTAATTTCTAGCAGAGTTTTGGTAATAACTGATGATTTTACCACTAATCAACTTACATCTTCAATTTCATATAATCGAAACTCAACGAAGTAAAAAGGGCGAAAGATCATGAATATTTCCAATGTAACATCCTGAAAACATAAATAAAAGTGTGCATTCAAGTCAGAGTGGAAGAAAGAGAGCACAGAAATGGAGAGAGGTACCTCTCTCACAACAAACCGGCCATGTCTATCTGGATACACCAAAGCGAAAGATAGTTTAGCATTTCTTCTCCTGGCTTCTGGAGCTACCTCTTTGACCTGTGACCCCACCCCCGAAAAAAAAAACGAACACACAAACTCACAACATAAGTTTAAGGACAGCAGTAAGGTAAACAGTGTGGCATTTAACAAAAAAACATGAACTAAAAATGATATAGATCATTCGTAATTACGTCATGCGAAGCGTGCAAGGAGAAATGATTGAAAAGGGATGAGAAACACAACCAGATCAGTTAGCTCGCGAAGAGTAGCATCCTTCCAGGTATATATTTGAACCTCATCCCTCGGCTCCTTGCCCCTCACGGCGAAGTCTTCATTGAAATGATGACTCCCAATCTGCAATTAACGCAAATTTCAATTTAATAATGACTGTTCCTTAATCCAATAAGTGGCATTACTTAGAACCAGGAGAGTAGATCATCAATAAGCTATATGATATGCCTCATAACCTAAATGTAGAAACGCAACACCAGAGAAATCTGCTTTAATTATCCTCTCATCCGACGCCTAAATCCTATCGGTCTCCACAATGACATAAACAGATGAATATTTCACACAAAAAATCCGCGTCCAACGAATTTCATTTCATACTTAACGGATTAATCTAGAAAACAAACTTGCTTTCGGGTACTTAGTCACTTCCAACTTTGCACAAAAATGTAACACAATTCATAAAAACAAAAGGCCAGCATCAAAAATACAACGTACCTTCGTAAAAACACGAAGCAGCAAAGGACAAGTCTGCAAGAAGAGAAGTAAAATGACTCAGTATAGAAAGTCAAACACGCTATCTATGTTTACATAGCTATCGATGTAAAACAGAATCGTTAAGCCAGAATAAGGCAATACTCAAAGTTCCAAATAATCATCATCAGAATAATGCAATTTCTATAGCGTTCTAGAACGAAGAAACGAGAAACCGATTGAAGATGAAGATGGATTCAAAAACAAGCTAATGAACACCAAAATTAAAACTGACATGATGATGGAACGGACAGAAACCCTAAAAGTAAAAGATGAGAAGGAAAGAAAGAGATACCTTCTCGCGATCGACTGGCTCCAAGCGAGGACGAGGAGGCGCATGAGGGGCTCTTGGAGGAGCGCCATAAGCTCTCCTCGGTGCTTCTGCTTCTCCCGCCATTTCTGTGTCTGTATTTTCTGCTACTTCTGGAAGCTTCTGCAGTTTATAGGCGAGGCCCGGAGGCCGCATCTTGGGCCTCGAGAATCAGGGCTCAATCCAGTTACTGTTAAGTCCTCGATGAAAATTTCACAATAATAAAAACTAATTATTACAATTTTTAATTAAATATTAAAATGTAAATAAATATATATTTTATCAACTATAACTTTAATTGAATTTATTATTTAATAAAAATTATTTGAATGGAAATAATTTACCCGCGAAAAATCTAATCAACAAGTCTCAGTGTGCAACGAGCAAAACATTCTTGTCATATTATTCACAACGACTCTCAGCAACAAATACTTAGTATGAATTGCAAGATCCCACGAACCACTGAATCTTTTGAACACAAGTTGCGCCGGAGCCTTCTAGTCGAGGGCACATCTACCTAAGTGTCATGCATCGCTGCCCCCACATGCAACACCCATTTGGGTTCGCCCCAAAAGAGGAAATCAGCTCGAACCGACCCACAACTCTTATAAACCCACCCCGAAGTTCGTGCCTCAACTAGAGCAACAATTTGCATTCCCTAAGCGACACACATGCCAAATGTATGCTCCTTCCCCGATCACGGCTCTTCTCAACTTGTTCGTCGATGCACTCTTCGACTTAGTTCCGACGCGGCTCAACATTTTAGAAATAGCTTATTCGACTCGCTATTTAATAGACTGCAATGCCTATAAAAAATGACATCGAAATTTAAAAAAACTAAGAGTCATTATTTAAATTAATAAGTGGATTATGATATAATTAATCATCTTTTAGTAATCATTAAAAGCATAGATATATAATAAAACTATAATAATATTTTATAATTTGATAATTTAGTATATGTTAATTTATTATTTTTTTTTTATGAATATTTTATTTGGAAACCTCGTTCGATAAAAATAAATAAATAAAAAAATACGTACTATTAAATTAAAATTTAGTCTCTGTAATTTTAAATATTAAATTAGTTCCCGCGAATGAAACTTTATCGTATAAATTAAATAGTTAAATATCTACAATATTCTTATTATTAATGATAATGCGAAAATGTATTAGAGGGGAAAACAAAGGCCAGCCATTTCCCTCTTTTTCCTTGGGAAATTATTATGAACTTTGGATACAATTTTGCAAGAAAAAAAAAAAGAAAAAAGGAGTCACTTCGATCTCGACTTTGGTGGCCCGATGAACAATTCCGTTTCAACGTCGAAAGTCGAGCTGGTTTCAAGATTC